GCATGGCCGTAGCAAGAGCATGGGACCGCCACAACTCAGCGGCTTGAGCCCTCGCTCCTGGGTTCTCCTGTCCTACCTCCTGTCCTGGACGCTGGTGGCTGTGCTCCTGACCTGCTGTTGTGGGAAGACGGGCAGGCCACTTGGAAGCCACTAGAGAGCATCCATCAGAAGTCCCAGTGTTTGTTCATGGGTTGGCCCTGCCTCCCCCAGGCCGATTGCTGGAGGGAGAAATAATGGGGCGACGTCTCAGGGCCCCCCCCACCGAGGACAGTCCAGCGGGGTCTCCAGGGCTGTGTGGCTGAGAGGGTCCCTGGGCTGGAAAGACCCCTGCCCCTCTAAGGGCTCCCAGGAGCCTCTGGCAGCGACGTGAGTGGCAGGTGAGCCGAGATCCGGAGACCCCTCCATCGGGGAAGTGACCGTGACCTTGACAGCTGCTCCCATCTGTGCACATCCTGGGCGCTGAGCCGAGCACACTGACAGCTGAGCGCATCTCTGACTCCGGCTCCAGACCAGCTCGTCCTGGGCCGCCCGACACACGGGGCTCCCCGGTGACGTCCCAGACGCAGTTTAACCCCTGCCGACCCCTGGGGCTTCACCGTCCTGCCGAACAGCTGGGAAACTGTGCTCGGGACAGCGGCGCCTGTGCCTGTCACGGCGCTCACAACGCGATGAGTCCCGAACAGGCTTGTTCCCGCCCAGCCCCAGGAGTCTCCGAAGCTCCGGGGTGGCAAGTGGCGCGTTTTTTTTTTTCTTTTTTAATAGAGGAGCCGTTCTTGTGTTACTTGTGTTACGAGAGCGCTCTTAACCTTTAAACGCGTCTAGGGAGTCGACTGAAATTTACAATAAATTCACCTTTCAACAATGAGCTGAACAGTTTCAGTGCAAACAATGTTGCTCCTTTTCATAAGCCTCAGTGTGAGCTTTACTCACACACAGTGGCGACGTTCAACTTTGTTTCTAGAATAACTGTGTTTGTTATGTGTTCTTCTGCCACATTGTTTTAATAACTCCTGGGAACCGAAGTCTTTTATCATAAATTGCCTCGGATGTTTTTTGAAAGCAGGCAGTGTTTAAAATCCACAGAAGCCTTCCGTGTGAGGTACTAGCTCTGCTGTGCAGAATGTATCAGGTGGTTGCACACAGGCGCTGGACAAGCCGCCCACTCACTGCTCTCCGCGGCCCCAGCAGGAGACTGAGCCTCAGACAAGGACGTCTCAGCTCCAGACACCAAGCTTAACGTGGACACAATGCCGCCATCTCACCGGAGATGCCCAAGTTCCAAGGTGGTCCAGATGACGCCCGTTCCAGCGGCCCCCCTCCACCCTAGGGTCTGACCGGAGCCACGGCGTGCTTCGTGGCCACGTCTCTTTAGCCCCTTTAATGCAGACGGCTCCTCAGCCTGTCCCGGCCCCTCGTGTGAGCGCAGGCCAGCGGACTTGAGAACATTCCTCCACCAAGGGGACGACAGGGTGGGATGGAGGGTCCGCGCTCCGGGCCGGGG